ATCCTGGAATATAAAGTTTGATATCGCGATCAAATCTTATGGCTCTAAACAGAATGTTGACGAACCTTGTGTTTATAAAAGGCTAGTCAACTCTATAGTAGCTTTCTTAGTGTTGTACGTTGACGATATTCTACTCATTGGGAATGATGTGGGATTTCTGACTAATATTAAGCATTGTCTAGCGACACAATTCCAAATGAAAGATTTGGGAGAGGCTCAGTTTGTTCTTGGAATCAAAATTGTTCGGAATCGCAAGAATAAAACACTAGCATTGTCTCAGGCATCGTATATCGATAAAATGTTGATTCGATATAAGATGCAGAACTCCAATAAAATATTATTACCTTTCAGGCATGAAGTTCATTTGTTGAAGGAACAAAGTCCTAAGACACCTCAAGAAATTGAGGATATGAGACACATTCCCTATGCATCAGCAGTCGGTAGTCTGATGTATGCCATGCTATGTACCCAACCTGACATATGCTATGCGGTGGAAATTGTCAGCAGATATCAATCCAATCCAGGACGTGCTCATTGGACTGCCGTTAAGAATATCCTCAAGTATCTTAGGAGAACGAGGGACTATATGCTAATGTACGGTGCTAAGGATCTGATTCTTACAGGGTACATTGACTCAAATTTTTAGACCGATGTAGATTCGATGAAATCGACATCAGGATCTGTCTTCACTCTGAACAAAGGAGCAATAATATGGAGAAGCATAAAGCAAGGTTGCATTGCTGATTCCACCATGGAGGCTGAGTATGTTGCTACTTGTGAAGCAGCGAAAGAATCTGTATGGCTTAGAAAGTTCTTAACTGATTTGGAAGTCATTCCAAATATGCATCTTCCCTTCACTCTTTATTGTGATAACAGTGGAGCAGTTGCAAATTCGAAAGAACCAAGAAGCCTTAAGCGAGGAAAACATATTGAGCACAAATATCATCTAATAATGGAGATTGTACAACGAGGAGATGTGATCGTCACACAGATAGTTTCGGAGCACAAAATTGCTGATCCATTTACAAAGCCTCTCACGGCTAAAGTGTTTGAAGGGCACCTAGTGAGTCTAGGACTACGAGTTATGTAATCTAGGAAAAGTGGGAGAAAAGGCATGAGTATGTGATGCCCTAGTTTATTGTATTTATGTCTCTCTCTACTTAACGTTATAAAACCCCACTAGAGTTTTAGTCCAAGTGGGAGTTTGTTGGGTTTTATGTTCTAAAACTCATAGTTTGTAAACAAAGACATATTCTATTTTCAATAAAGTTATTACTGATGTTTATTCAGTAAATATTGTTATTGAATAAAGTGAACTTTACGATCATTAATCTAAATCCAATAAACTAAGAACACTTTGGCTATAGTATGATTACTTGAACTATATGTAGAGACATAAAAGTGGATCAAGTTCAAGTATAGAGTCAAAATGATCTATAGTATAAGGATAAGGCTGAGTACCTTATTCTGGGGACACTATGGACGCGGCCCACTTTTGTATATGATATAAACAACGTGATCACTAAATTGTACATGTGGAGACATGTGAGTGGGGGCGTCCTATGCAATGAGTATTGCATAAGATCGGACCATGAAGAAAATAACTCTCTCTTTATAATGTCGTTTACTGTTGAGACTGATTTTCTTTTCATTCGATGACCTAGGTAACTCGATCTTATTCCTGAGCTAACCATGAACTTCTGTTCATTCGGAATTATCCTTAGATTTGCATGGGTGATTGTGGCTCGAGTTCGCTGACTCAATAGGCCTCCCATTTCAAGGGTAAGACTGGGTGAATAGCTGGGGACGTGGGGTGCAAGATGGAATTCGCTCCTACCCACTCTCTTCAGGTCTTGAACAAGGGGCCCCACCCACTCATTGGCCTGAGAGGAATTTGGTTTACTGATTGGACCACAAACCAATTGTTCATAAGAGGATCAGTAGAATACATGGAACAAGAAGTAACTTCAGGGGTAAAACGACTAATTGAACTAGCTCTAGTTACGAACAACCTTGAAGGATCGACTTACTAATCATGGTTATATCAAATTGATAGAAATATACGTATAGTGAGGGGAGTGCAACTACTAGGCTATAGTGGAGTGTCCTAGTAGTTAACGAAGGTTGGTTAACAAGGTTAATGAGTTTAACAAGTTAATCTTGGATCGTTGGAGCCCATGATCTATAGGTTCATTAGGTCCCTCTACTAGCTCATATCAGACTAAACAATAGAATAGTGTGACGAGTGAGTTCGAAGTGTTCAAATTCAAATTAGAGAATATGCGCTACATATATACGATATATTTAACTGCATTTTTTTTTATTTACGAATTAAACAAAAAGAGAAAATTTGAGATATTTAAATAAGATTTAAATATCTTAATCAATTATGTGTCGGAATTGATTAAAATTGGCATTTGAATTAATATTAAATATTAATTAAATATTTTAATTAATCATTTAATGTTACTTTAATTTGAAATTAATTATTCAAATTAATTGTTGAATTAAAACGAAGAAAGTCAAAATGTTGACTTCATTTAAAGGAAAAATCCATGTTAGTGGAATTTTGAGGTGTCAAAATTTGGTTGAACCAAACTTGCATGCTTGCCAAATAAACCCAAGTTTGAGTTGAATTTTGAGTGTCAAAATTTGGTTAACTCAAACATGCATGCTTGCCACATAATCCCAAGCATTTGAGTTGAATTTTGAGTGTCTAAATTTGGTGATCTCAAATTTGCATGAACATGAAAACATGACTCTTTAAATAGAGTGATCATGTACATTGAAGGGCTCCTTCCTTAAAAAAGACCTTAGAAAATTCTCACAAGCTCTCTTTTCATATATGCTAAATCCCTCCCAAGTTTAGTCACTCACCGGATTCAATAATTCTGTTCTAAGGACGGAGGATAGTGGAGAAGACACTAGTGGTAGATCGAAACCGGTTCGTGAGGAAAAAAGAATTTGAACTACAAAAGGTTAGTATTCAAATTCATTGAGTTTTAATACTTATGAACATGCTAGTTATTTACTATAATTGATGTTCTAAAAGTGCCAAAGATCCAAATTGCTTCCGCATGTGTTATATTAGCACCATCAGTGGGCACTACACTCAGATAGTGTGAAGGAGCTCGTTGCAGCTTGGATGTGCTAGAGTGCCCTGCAAGGCTAATTCTCAGTTTGTTGTTTGCAATTATGATCCTTCTGGTAACTATATTGGGGAAAAGCCTTATGGTTCTTCTTTGTATATTGAGGAATCTCCACAATAATATGATATTGTATACTTTTCTCCCCTAAATGGAGAATGAATGCAATCATGAATTTCTACAATTTTATCATATTGTCTACTTTTCTACCTAAAATTGCAAAAATAAATGGAGAAAATTAACGAGTTTTAGAAATCATATCTTCACAATGGTACGATATTGTCCTCTTTTCTATCCAAAATTGCATAAATCACTCGTCTCCACAATGGTATGATCTTTGTTGGATGAATGTCCCACCTCAGCTAATTTAGGGAATGATCGTGGGTTCATAATCAGAAAATACTATCTCCATCGGGGTGAGGCCTTTTGGGAAGCGCAAAGCAAAGCGATGAGAGCTTATGTTCAAAGTGGACAATATCATACCATTGTGGAGAGTCGTGTTCGTCTAACAAGGTATCAGAGCCACGCCCTAAAATTAACCATGTCAATAGAATTCTCAAATGTCGAACAAAGAACTTCAAAAGAAAAAGAAAAAGAAAAATAAAAGAAGTCGAGGGGAAGTGTTGGATGAAAGTCCAACTCGGCGAATTTAGGGAACGATCATGGGTCCATTGAGGTGAACTGAAAGTGGACAATATCTTCGTAATGGTATGATATTAAGTGCTTTCTTACCAATACTGCAAAAATAAATGGAGAATTACCAAATTTTAGGAACCATCCATCTCTACACTGATATGATACTGTCTAGTTTGAGATTAAGTACTTTCTGCTTGTTGTCCTATGAGATTATTCCTTGCTTATAGATTCATGATCATTCTCTTAACAATTTTACACACGGAGAATAGCTCCCAGAATAGCTGTCAAATTGTTGTTTGAAGTCAACGAGAATAAATGCCCGTGGCCGAGATGCGAAAAACCAGTCACGATGTTTCGGCATCGAAATCGGGAGACCCACGACGGCAATTAGCTCTGCTGCACATAAGTCAATAGTAATTAAAATATACTATTACCCGAGAGATAGAAGGTTTTATTTCATCCATGACTATATGTTTTAAGTTACGGTTACTTTTAGAAAAAGGAAAAAGAAATACAATAATTCACAACTCAATTAGTAGTAAATATTTTTAATCTAAAATTATTTTTATATAATAAACCCAATCTAAATAGGTTATAAAAATTTTAGGTTTTCATTTCATTTACTCAAAATATTAATAAAATATTAACATTATTTATTTATTTTTAAACATTTAATTAACCAATTCAATTTTAATACATATTTTAAAAAATTGGAGAAGAATAAATAAATAAAATTATGAAACTAAATAAAACAATAAATATATACCTACAAGTAAAAATGTATTTTTTAAGATTAACCATAATAGGGTGGATTAAGTTTCATTAATCCTAAAAAAAAAATCATAAACTAGCTAAATCTAGAAAATTTTCATTTATTTGAAGCTAATCCAAACAAAAATCTAGCTCGTAATTAAACATGGAAGCGAGAATGAATTTATTCTCTTTGAATTCCCAAGCATAATATAATATTTCATAATTCATGGTTTTACCCATCACATTCCATATTAAGTTTTCCATCTCTATATAAATCATTCCCTCATTCTCAATCTTCATCTCATCTCTCATCGGAATTATGTGGAGTCAAACCCTTCGGATCATGGTCGCTTTCATGGTCACTTTCATTTTCCTCCTCGCCTTAACTAAAGCACAAAATGCCCCCGGTGACTACCTCGCGCTTCACAACCGAGCTCGAGCCGAGGTCGGCGTCGGGCCCATGCAATGGAGCAACACCGTGGCCGCGTACGCTCAAGCCTATGCGGAAAAAGAAAGCGTGACTGCGCCATGATTCACTCAACCAGGCCGTTCGGGGAAAACATAGCCGCGGGCTACTACCCTAAGTTCACTGGGGCAGATGCAGTGAAGCTGTGGGCGAACGAGAAGCTGTTGTATGATCATGCATCGAATAAATGCGTGGGTGGTGAATGTGGGCACTACACTCAGATGGTGTGGCGGAGCTCGGTGCGGCTTGGATGTGCTAGAGTGCCTAGCAAGGCTAATTCTCAGTTTGTTATTTGCAATTATGATCCTCCAGGCAACTATATTGGAGAAAAGCCTTATGATTCTTGGGTGGTATGAAGAGATTTGGTTTTAAAATTTTTATGAATATTAATAAAGTTTGTGAGAGAATCATGAATTTATTTATTGAAATAAAACTACGATATTGTCTACAATAGTATTATATTGTCTAGAGCATAAACTCTTGTTACTGTGTTTTGACTTCCTTACTTATAAACTCATGATCATAGAGTCTCCCCTCTCATTAAGTACACCACATAGAGCCACATTTGAAGCCTATAGATTACCTATGATCATAGAGACTCCCCTCGAACAAAATACACCATAGAGCCTCCCTCGAACAAAATACACCATAGTGCCTCCCCTTAAGTCGATGGATTTTTAAAAGAAATTCCCTTTAATCGAGACTCGACTTCTTTCTTCGGAGACCTTGAACAAAATACGAAATTTGTTCGACACTTTTAACTACGATTTTTAAGCTTACAACTTTTTCCTTCGACATACCTAAGTTAAGTTCATAGTTTGATACCATGTAACTAATCACGAATCTCTATAATGTTATATGATATTTGTCAAATTTGAACATAATATCATGGGTTTGCTTCGAGCTCCCACAAGAAGTCATGTTAATGAAAATGTATTCTTTAGTTATAAATCTATGATCATTTATGAACAGTCTTCAACACTGAGAGCATCAGCCACCAGCCAATTGTTGTTCCAAGTCACCCGGAAGAAATACCCTCGGCGGAGATGCGGAAAACCAGTTTAAGGTATTTTCAGCCTCCAAATCGAGAGAACCACGACGACGGCGATTAACTTCGCTGCAGTATGATACCCACACAGGAGACGAAGACTCACTGCCACAACCTACCGCCGTTTACCAGCTTTGAATATGGAGACCAACGGGGCCGGAGTGACTAAAGGACACCCGATGCTCAAAAGGCGACCATTTTTTTCTTACTTTACTTATTGGCCACTCCATTCGTCTTTTTCTCGGCTTCGGGTGAAAAAAAAAACAGTAATAATAAATAATCAAAATGGTAAAATCAAAGAAATGCCTGTTTTTGTTGAATTACTGAAATTCCCTTTTATCGAAATACTGAAATACTGAAATTTGATAGGTACTGTGATCACTGGGCAATGCTCTTGGAAAACTTCTTTAGTACTGGGTTTGGTGGAGAATTTGATTCCTGCACCAATATGACACATTGTTTTAACAGATACCAAGAAGAAGCACATTGATGATCATAAATTGAAAGATTTCAAAGCAAAGAATTATCTATTTCAAGCATTAGAACGTTCGATCTTGGAGACAACCCTCAACAAGGATACAGAAACTCAAGTCATCATACCTGATGATGGCGTTGAGGATCCATTGACCTATAAACATGCAATGAATGATGAAGATAGAGATTTCTGGATCAAAGCCATGAATCTTGAAATGGAGTCAATGTACTTCAATTCAGTCTGGGAACTTGTAGATCAACCAGATGGGGTAAAACCTATTGGTTGCAAATGGATCTATAAGAGGAAACGAGACCAAATCGGTAAGGTACAAACCTTTAAAGCTCGTCTTGTAGAAAAGGGTTATACCCAAAGAGAGGTGGTGGACTATGAAGAAACCTTCTCTCCTGTTGCTATGCTTAAATCGATTAGAATACTCTTGTCTATTGCCACATTTTATGATTATGAAATTTGGCAAATGGATGTTAAGATAGCCTTTCTAAAGGGCAATCTTGAAGAGAGTATCTATATTGCTCAACCAGATGAGTTCATTAAACAAGATCACAAGCATAGGGTTTGCAAGCTTAAAAGATCCATTTATGGGTTGAAGCAAGCATCTCGATCCTGGAATATAAAGTTTGATACTGCGATCAAATCTTATGGCTCTAAACAGAATGTTGACGAACCTTGTGTTTATAAAAGGATAGTCAACTATATAGTAGCTTTCTTAGTGTTGTACGTTGACGATATTATACTCATTGGGAATGATGTGGGATTTCTGACTGACATTAAGCATTGGCTAGCGAAACAATTCCAAATGAAAGATTTGGGAGAGGCTCAGTTTGTTCTTGGAATCCAAATTGTTCATAATCGCAAGAACAAAACACTAGCATTGTCTTAAGCATCGTATACGACAAAATGTTGATTCGATATAAAATGTAGCACTCCAAGAAAGGATTTTTACCTTTCCGGCATGGAGTTTATTTGTCGAAGGAACAAAGTCATAAGACATCTCAAGAAAGTAAGGATATGAGACACATTCCCTATGCATCAGCAGTCGATAGTCTGATGTATGCCATACTATGTGCCCGACCTGACATATGCTATGCTGTGGGAATTGTCAGCAGATATCAGTCCAATCCGGGACGCGCTCATTGGAATGCCGTTAAGAATATCCTCAAGTTTCTTAGGAGAAAAAGAGACTATATGCTAATGTACAGTGCTAAGGATCTGATCCTTACATGGTACACTGACTTAGATTTTAAGACCGATGTAGATTCGAGGAAATCGACATCAGGATTTGTCTTCACTCTGAACGGAGGAGCAATAATATGAAGAAGCATAAAGTAAGGTTGCATCGCTAATTCTACCATGGAGGCTGAGTATGTTGCTGCTTGTGAAGCAGCGAAAGAATCTGTATGGCTTATAAAGTTCTTAACTGATTTCGAAGTCGTTTTAAATATGCATCTTCCTGTCACTCTTTATTGTGATAACAGTGGAGAAGTTTGCAAATTCGAAAGAACCAAGAAACCATAAGTGAGGAAAACATATTGAGCGCAAATATCATCTCATAAGGGAGATTGTGCAACGAGGAGATGTGATCGTCACACAGATAGTTTTGGAGCACAACATTGCTGATCCACTTACAAAGCCTCTCACGGCTAAAGTGTTTGAAGGGTACCTAGTGAGTCTAGGACTACGAGTTATGTAATCTAGGGCAAGTGGGAGAAAAGGCATGAGTATGTGATGCCTTAGTTTATTGTATTTATGTCTCTCTCTACTCAACGTTATAAAACCCCACTGGAGTTTTAGTCCAAGTGGGAGTTTGTTGGGTTTTATGTCATAAAACTCATAGTTTGTAAACAAAGACATATTCTATTTTCAATAAAGTTATTACTGATGTTTATTCAGTAAAGATTGTTATTGAATAAAGTGAACATTACGATCATTAATCTAAATCGAATAAACTAAGAACACTTTGGCTACAGTATGATTACTTGAACTATATGTAGAGACATAAAAGTGGATCAAGTTCAAGTATATAGTCAAAATGATCTATAGTATAAGGATAAGGCTGAGTACCTTATTCTGGGCACACTATGGATGCGGCCCACTTTTGAATATGATATAAACAATGTGATCAATAAATTGTACATGTGGAGACATGTGAGTGGGGGCGTCCTATGCAATGAGTATTGCATAAGATCGGACCATTAAGAAAATCACTCTCTCTTTATAATGTCGTTTATTGTTGAGACTGATTTTTTTTTCATTCGATGACCTAGGTAACTTGATCTTATTCCTGAGCTAACCATGAACTCCTGTTCATTTGAAATTCTCCTTAGATTTCCATGGGTGAGAGTGGCTCTAGTTCGCCGACTCAATAGGCCTCCCATTTTAGGGGTAAGACTGGGTGAATAGCTGGGGATGTGTGGTGTAAGATGGAATTCGCTCCTACCCACTTTTAGGGATAGAAGAGAGGTAGTTCCCTTCAGTACTGACTCCAGGTCTTGAACAAGGGGCCCCACCTACTCATCGGCCTGAGAGGGATTTGGTTTACTGGTAGGACCACAAACCAATTGTTCATAAGAGGATCAGTGGGACATAAAGAACAAGAAGTAACTTCAGGGGTAAAACGGCTAATTGACCCAGCTCTAGATACGAAGAACCTTGAAGGATCGACTTACTAATCATGGTTATATCAAATGGACAAAAATATATCTATAGTGAGGGGAGTGCAACTACTAGGCTATAGTTGAGTGTCCTAGTAGTTAACGAATGTTGGTTAACAAGGTTCATGAGTTTAACTAGTTAATCTTGGATCGTTGGAGCCCATGATCTATAGGTCTATTAGGCCTCTCTGCTAGCTCATATCGGACTAAACCATAGAACAGTGTGATGAGTGAGTTCGAAGTGTTCGAATTCAAATTAGGGAATATGCGCTACATATATACAATATATTTAACTCCATTTTTGTTTTATTTACGAATTAAACAAAAAAAGAGAATTTGACATATTTAAATAAGATTTAACTATCTTAATCAATTATGTGTCGGAATTGATTGAGATTTGCATTTGAATTAATATTAAATATTAATTAAATAGTTTAATTAATCATTTAATGTTACTTTAATTTGAAATTAATTATTCAAATTAATTGTTGAATTAAAACAAAGAAAGTCAAAATGTTGACTTCAGGAAAAATACATGTTAGTGGAATTTTGAGGTGTCAAAATTTGGTTTAACCAAACTTGTATGCTTGCGAAATAAACCCCACAAGTTTGAGTGGAATTTTCAGTGTCAAAATTTTGTTAACTCAAACACGCATGCTTACCACATAATCCCAAACATTTGAGTTGAATTTTCAGTACTGGGTTTGGTGGAGAATGGGATTCAATAGGACACATCGTTTTAACAGACTCCAAGAAGAAGCACATTGAAGATCATAAATTGAAAGATTTGAAAGCAAAGAATTATCTATTTCAAGCGTTAGAACGTTTGATCTTGGAGACAACCCTCAACGAGGATACAAAAAAAAAAAAAAAAAACGTACGGGATTCTATGAAGTATAAATATCAAGGTTCAACACGGGTAAATCGTGCACATTTGCTAGCTCTTCGGAAGGAGTTTGAAATGCTGCACATGAAGGTAGGAGAATCTGTGAATGAGTATTTTGCTCGAACCCTTAGCATAGCCAACAAGATGAAACTAAATGGTGAGAACAAAGAAGATGTTTAAGTCGTCGGAAAGATACTGAGATCTAAGACCCCCAAGTTTCATCATATTGATTAGCAATAAAATGGTTTTTATAAATAATTTTTATTTAATGGATTGCTCTAAGGTTATTATTATTTTTATTATTTTATAATAATAGTAAATTGAATATAACTCAATAGTAATTAAAATATTAAATTAGGTCGGAGGTTCTCTTTCATCCCTGATCTATGTTTTAATTTACGTTTATTTTTTTAAAAAGAAAAAAAAATACAAAAATTCATAACTCAATTAGTCATAAATATTTCTAAGAAATTCTCATTATATAATAAACCTAATCTAACTCGATCATAAAATTTTTGGGTTACATTAGTTCATTTCATTTACTCAAAACTTTAAGTAGAATATTAAACTTATTTATTTATTTTCAAATATTTAATTCAGCCACTAAATTTTAATATATATTTAAAAAAGTGGTGGAAGAATAAATAAAATTAAATAAAATTAAATTAACTAAAGCAATATAAACTAGCTAAATCTAGAAAATTTCATTTATTTGAACTTAATTCAAACAAAAATCTCTTAATTAAACATGGAAAGCCGGAACGAATTCATTCTAGTTGAATTGCAATCGTGATGCATGACATAATTAGTTCATAATTCATTGTTTTCCCCATAGCATTCCATATTATGTTTTCAATCTCTATATAAATCATTCCCTTATTTTCAATCTTCATCTCATCTCTCTTCGGAATTATGTGGACACAAACCCTTCCAATCATGGCCTCTTTCATGGACACTTTCATGTTCCTCCTCGTCCTAACCAACGCTCAAAACGCCCCAGGTGACTACCTCGTGCTTCACAACCGCGCTCGAGCCCAGGTCGACGTCAACCCCATGCAATGGAGCAATACTGTGGCCGCGTACGCTATGGCCTATGCGGAAAAAAGAAAGGGTGACTGCGCCATGATTCACTCAATCGGGCCGTACGGGGAAAACATAGCTGCGGGCTACTACCCTGAGTTCACTGGGGCGGATGCGGTGAAGCTATGGGCGAACGAGAAGTCGCTGTATGATCATGCGTCGAATAAATGCATGGGTGGTGAATGTGGGCACTACACTTAGATGGTGTGGCGAAGCTCGGTCCAGCTTGGATGTGCTAGAGTGCCCTGTAAGGCTAATTCTCAGTTTGTTGTTTGCAATTACGATCCTCCTGGCAACTATATTGGGGAAAGGCCTTATGATTCTTGGGTGGTTCGAAGAGATTTGGTTTTAAAAATTTTATGAATAGTATTATATTGTCCGGTTTAAGTGAACTCTTGTGACTTTGTTTTGACCGCCTTAAGTTAACTCTTGTGACTTTGTTATGATCTCCTTCCTCGTAAACCCATGATCATAGAGTCTCCCCTCTAATTAAGTACATCACAGAGCCACCCTGAAGCTCGTAGATTTCTAGAACAACCTTCCCTTAATCGAGGCTCGACATAGCTAAGTTAAGTTGATTTTCTATTCTTCTTTGGAGCCTTTGAACAAAATACACCATTTGTTCGACACTTTTGACTACAAATTTGAGGCTAACAATTTCTTTGTTTGACATAGCTAAGTTAAGTTGATTTTCTATTCTTCTTATGATTCTCTGTTATATAATCCATCATAAAATTTTTGGGTTCAATTAATTCATTTCATTTACTCAAAATTTTAAGTAAAATATTAACATTATTTATTTATTTTCAAACCTTTAGTTAATAAAACAATAAATATATACGTGCATGAATACCTAAATGGTGAGTAAAAATGTATCTTAAATTTTAAGATTAACCTCTATGTGGATTAAGTTTTATTAATCCTAAAAAAAATTCATGCTAAATCTAGAAAATTTTCATTCATTTAACTTAATTCAAACAAAAATCTAGCCTAACTAAACATGGAAGCCGGAATGCATTGTTGAATTTCATAGCATGGCATAATTAGTTCATAATTCATTGTTTTCCCATCGCATTCATTTCATTCATTTGAACCTAATTCAAACAAAAATCTAGCCTAACTAAACATGGAAGCCGGAATGCATTGTTGAATTTCATAGCATGGCATAATTAGTTCATAATTCATTGTTTTCCCATCGCATTCATTTCATTCATTTGAACCTAATTCAAACAAAAATCTAGCCTAACTAAACATGGAAGCCGGAATGCATTGTTGAATTTCATAGCATGGCATAATTAGTTCATAATTCATTGTTTTCCCATCGCATTCATTTCATTCATTTGAACCTAATTCAAAAAAAAATCTAGCCTAACTAAACATGGAAGCCCGAATGCATTGTTGAATTTTCGAGCATGGCATAATTAGTTCATAATTCATTGTTTTCCAATCGCATTCCATATTAAGTTTTCCATCTCTATATAAATCCTTCCCTTATTCTCAATTTTCATCTCATCTCTCATCGAAATTATGTGGACTCAAACCCCTCCGATCATGGCTGCTTTCAGTTGCCACTTTCATGTTCCTCCTTGCCCTAACCAACGCTCAAAACGCCCCCCGTGACTTCCTCGCGCTTCACAATCGCGCTCGAGCCCAGGTCGGCGTCGGGCCCATGCAATGGAGCAACACCGTGACCGCATACGCTCAAGCCTATGTCGAAAAATGAAAGGGTGACTGCGCCATGATTCACTCAACCGGGTCGTATGGGGAAAAGATAGCCACGGGCTACTTCCCTGAGTTCACCGGGGCGGATGCGGTGAAGCTGTGGGCGAACGAGAAGCCGCTGTATGATCATGCGTCGAATAAATGCGTGGATGGTGAATGTGGGCACTACACTCAGATGGTGTGGCGGAGCTCGGTGCGGCTTGGATGTGCTAGAGTGCCCTGCAAGGCTAATTCTCAGTTTATTGTTTGCAATTATGATCCTCCTGGTAACTATATTGAGGAAAAGCCTTATGGTTCTTCTTTGTAAACAGCTTTGGTTCGAGAATTTTATGAATTGTAATAAAGTTTGTGAGAGAATCATGAATTACTGAAAATCTTCCCCCAAAACTGTAAAAACTAATGGTGAATTATCAAGTGAATTAGGAATCTCCACAATAATATGATATTGTATACTTTTCTCCCCTAAATGGAAAATGAATGCAATCATAAATTTCTACAATTTTATGATATTGTCTCCTATTTTACCCAAAATTGGAAAAATAAATGGAGAAAATTAATGAGTTTTAGAAATCATATCTTTACAATGGTATGATATTGTCCGCTTTCCTATCCAAAATTGCATAAATAAATGGAGAATTACTGAGATTTAGAAATCACTCATCTCCACATAGGTATGATCTTTGTTGGATGAATGTCTCACCTCGGCTAATTTAGGGAATGATCATGGGTTCATAATCAGAGAATACTATCTCCATCGGGGTGAGGCATTTTGGGAAGCGCAAAGCAAAGTGACGAGAGCTTATGTTTAAAGTGGACAATATCATACCATTGTGGAGAGTCGTGTTCGTCTAACATGGTATCAGAGCCACGCCCTAAACTTAGCCATGTCAATAGAATTCTCAAATGTCAAACAAAGAACTCCAAAAGAAAAAGAAAAAGAAAAGAAGTCGAGGGGAAGTGTTGGATGAAAGTCCAACTTGACGAATTTAGGGAACGATCATGGGTCCATTGAGGTGAACTCAAAGTGGACAATATCTTCGTAATGGTATGATATTATGTGCTTTCTTACCAATACAACAAAAACAAATGGAGAATTACCAAGTTTTAGGAACCATCCATCTCTACACTGATATGATACTGTCTAGTTTGAGATTAAGTACTTTCTGCTTGATGTCATGTGAGATTATTCCTTGCTTATAGATTCATTATCATTCTCTTAACAATTTTACACACGGAGAATAGCTCCCAGAATAGCTGTCAAATGTTGTTTGAAGTCAACGGGAATAAATGCCCGCGGCGGAGATGCGAAAAACCAGTCACGATGTTTCTGCATGGAAATCGGGAGACCCACGACGGCAATTAGCTCTGCTGCACATAAGTCAATAGTAATTAAAATATACTATTACTCGAGAGGTAGAAGGTTTTATTTCATCCATGACTATATGTTTTAAGTTACGGTTACTTTTATTAAAAAGATAAAGAAATACAAAAATTCATAACTCAATTAGTAGTAAATATTTTTAATCTAAAATTCTTTTTATATAATAAACCCAATCTAAATAGGTTATAAAAATTTTAGGTTCAATTAGTTCATTTCATTTACTCAAAATTTTAATAAAATATTAACATTATTTATTTATTTTTGAACATTTAATTAACCAATTCAATTTTAATACATATTTTAAAAAATTGGAGAAGAATAAATAAATAAAATTATGAAACTAAATAAAACAATAAATATATACCTACCAGTAAAAATCTAGCCCGTAATTAAACATGGAAGCGAGAATGAATTTATTCTCTTTGAATTCCCAAGCATGGCATAATTAGTTCATAATTCATGGTTTTCCCCATCACATTCCATATTAAGTTTTCCATCTCTATATAAACCATTCCCTCATTCTCAATCTTCATCTCATCTCTCATTGGAATTATATGGACTCAAACCCTTCCGATCATGGCCGCTTTCATGGCCACTTTCATTTTCCTCCTTGCCCTAACCAACGCTCAAAACACCCTTGGTGACTACCTCGCGCTTCACAACCGAGCTCGAGCCCAGGTCAGCGTCGGGCCCATGCAATGGAGCAACACCGTGGCCGCGTACGCTCAAGCCTATGCGGAAAAAAGAAAGGTTGACTGCGCCATGATTCACTCAACCGGGCCGTACATGGAAAACATAGCCGCGGGCTACTACCCTGAGTTCACCGGGGCGGATGCGGTGAAGCTGTGGGCGAACGAGAAGCCGCTGTATGATCATGCGTCGAATAAATGCGTGGGTGGGGAATGTGGGCACTACACTCAGATGGTGTGGCGGAGCTCGGTGCGGCTTGGATGTGCTAGAGTGCCCTACAAGGCTAATTCTCAGTTTGTTGTTTGCAATTATGATCCTCCAAGCAACTATATTGGGGAAAAGCCTTATGATTCTTGGGTGGTATGATCCTCCAGGCAACTATATTTGACTTCCTTACTTATAAACTTATGATCATAGAGTCTCCCCTCTCATTAAATACACCACATAGAGCCACCTTTGAAGCCTATAGATTACCTATGATCATAGAGTCTCCCCTCGAACAAAATACACCATAGAGCCTCCCCTGAAGCCTATGGATTTCTAAAAGAAACTCCCTTTAATTGAGACTCGACTTCTTTCTTCCGAGACCTTGAACAAAATACGAAATTTGTTCGACACTTTTAACTACGATTTTTAGGCTTACAACTTTTTCGTTCGACATAGCTAAGTTAAGTTCATAGTTTGATACCATGTTACTAATCACGAATCTCTACAATGTTATATGATATTTGTTCACTTTGAACATAATATCATGGGTTTGCTTCAAGCTCCCACAAGAAGTCATGTTAATGAAAATGTATTCTTTAGTTATAAATCTATGATCATTTTCGAACAGTCTTTAACACTGAGAGCATCAGCCACCAGCCAATTGTTGTTCCAAGTCACCCGGAAGAAATGCCTTCGGTGGAGATGCGGAAAACCAGTCAAGGTGTTTTTCAGCCTCCAAATCGAGAGACCCACGACGACGACGATTAACTCCGCTGCAGTATGATACCCACACCGGAGACGAAGACCCACTGCCACAACCTACCGGCATTTGCCGGCTCTGAATATGGAGACCAACGGGGCCGAAGTGACTAAAGGACACCCGACGGGGCCACTGCATTCATTTTTTTCTTGGCTTCATGGAAAAATAATAATAATAATAAATAATCAAAATGGTAAAATCAAAGAAATGCCTGTTTTTGTTGAATTACTGAAATGCCATTTTATCGAAATACTGAAATTTGTTGGGTACGATGATCATTGGGCAATGCTCATGGAAAACTTCTTTAGTACTGGGTTTGGTGGAGAATGAGATTCTTGCACCAATAGGACACATCGTTTTAACAGATACCCAGAAGAAGCACATTGAAGATCATAAATTGAAAGATTTGAAGGCAAAGAATTATCTATTTCAAGCATTAGAACGTTCGATCTTGGACACAACCTTCAACAAGGATACAGAAACTCAAGTCATCATACCTGATGATGGCGTTGAGGATCCATTGACTATAAACAGACAATGAATGATGAAGATAGAGATCAGTAGATCAAAGCCATGAATCTTGAAATGGAGTCAATGTACTTCAATTCAGTCTGGGAACTTGTAGATCAACCAGATGGGGTAAAACCTATTGGTTGCAAATGGATCTATAAAAGGAAACGAGACCAAACCAGTAAGGTACAAACCTTTAAAGCTCGTCTTGTAGCAATGGGTCATACCCAAAGAGAGGGGGTGGACTATGAAGAAACCTTCTCTCCTGTTGCTATGCTTAAATCGATTAGAATACTCTTGTCTATTGCCACATTTTATGATTATGAAATTTGGCAAATGGATGTTAAGACAGCCTTTCTAAACGAAAATCTTGAAGAGAGTATCTATATGGCTCAACCAGATGGGTTCATTGAACAGGATCACAAGCATAGGGTTTCCAAGCTTAAAAGATCCATTTATGGGTTGAAGCAAGCATCTCGATCCTGGAATATAAAGTTTGATACCGCGATCAAATCTTATGGCTTTAACCAGAATGTTGATGAACCTTGTGTTTGTAAAAGGATAGTCAACTCTACAGTAGCTTTCCTAGTGTTGTACGTTGACAATATTCTACTCATTGGGAATGATGTGGGTTTTCTGACTGACATTAAGCATTAGCTAGCGACACAATTCCAAATGAAAGATTTGAGAGAGACTCAGTTTGTTCTTGGAATCCAAATTGTTCGGAATCGCAAGAACAAAACACTAGCATTGTCTCAGGCATCTTATATCGACAAAATGTTGATTCGATATAAGATGCAAGACTCCAAGAAAGGATTATTACCTTTCAGGCATGGAGTTCATTTGTCGAAGGAACAAAGTCCTAAGACACCTCAAGAAATTGAGGATATGAGACACATTCTCTATGCATCAGCAGTCGGTAGTCTGATGTATGTCATGCTATGTACCCGACCTGACATATGCTATGCTGTGGGAATTGTCAGGATATATCAGTCCAATCTGGGACGTTCTCATTGGACTGACGTTAAGAATATCCTCAAATATCTTAGGAGAACGAGGGACTATATGCTAATGTACGGTGCTAAGGATCTGATCCTTACAAGGTACACTGACTCAGATTTTCAGACCGATGTAGACTCGAGGAAATCGACATCAGGATCTGTCTTCAATAATATGGAGAAGCATAAAGCAAGGTTGCATTGCTGATTCCACCATGGAGGTTGAGTATGTTGCTGCTTGTGAAGCAGCGAAAGAATCTGTATGGCTTAGAAAGTTCTTAACTGATTTGGAAGTCGTTCCAAATCTTCATCTTCCCGTCACTCTTTATTGTGATAACAGTGGAGCAGTTTGCAAATTCGAAAGAACCAAGAAGCCATAAGCGAGGAAAACAAATTGAGCGCAAATATCATCTCATAAGGGAGATTGTGCAACGAGGAGATCTGATCGTCACACATATATCTTTTCAAATTAACGATAATCCGGGTAGATTGAGTTCAATTAAGCCTAAAAAAAATTCATAAACTAGCTAAATCTAGAAAATTTCATTTATTTGAACTTAATCCAAACAAAAATCTCTTAATTAAACATGGAAAGCCAACGAATTCATTCGAGTTGAATCTGCAAGCCTGATGCATGAAATAATTAGTTCATAATTCATTGTTTTCCCCATCACATTTCATATTATGTTTTCAATCTCTATATAAATCCTTCCCTTATTTTCAATCTTCATCTCATCTCTCATCGGTATTATGTGGACAAAAACCCTTCCGATCATGGCCTCTTTCATGGACACTTTCATGTTCTTCCTCGCCCTAACCAACGCTCAAAATGCCCCCGGTGACTACCTTGAGCTTCACAGCCGCGCTCGAGCCCAGGTCGGCGTCGACCCCATGCAATGGAGCAATACCGTGGCCGCGTACGCTCAAGCCTATGCGGAAAAAAGAAAGGGTGATTGCGCCAGGATTCACTCAACCGGGCTGTACGGGGAAAACATAGCTGTTGGGTACTATCCTAAGTTCACCGGGGCGGATGCGGTGAAGCTGTGGGCGAAAGAGAAGCCACTGTATGATCATGCGTAGAATAAATGCGTGGGTGGTGAATGTGGGCACTACACTCAGATGGTGTGGCGGAGCTCAGTGCGGCTTGAATGTGCTAGAGTGCCCTGCAAGGCTAATTCTCAATTCGTTGTTTGCAATTATGATCCTCCATGCAACTATATTGGGGAAAAGCCTTATAAGGGTGGTAGGAAGAGATTTGGTTTTAAAAATTTTATGAATATTAATAAAGTTTGTGAGAGAATCATGAATTTATTTATTGAAATAAAACTACCATATTGTCAACAATAGTATTATATTGTCTAGAGCATAATCTCTTGTGACTTTGTTTTGACTTCCTTACTTATAAACTCATGATCATAGAGTCTCCCCTCTCATTAAGTACACCACATAGAGCCCCTTTGAAGCCTATAGATTACCTATGATCATAGAGACTCCCCTCGAACAAAATACACCATAGAGCCTCCCCTTAAGCCTCCCCTTAAGCCAATGGATTTTTAAAAGAAACTCCCTTTAATCGAGACTCGACTTCTTTCTTCGGAGACCTTGAACAAAATACGAAATTTGTTCGACACTTTTAACTATGATTTTTCGGCTTACAACTTTTTCGTTCGACATAGCTAAGTTAAGTTCATAGTTTGATACCATGTTACTAATCACAAATCTCTATAATGTTATATGATATTTGTCCACTTTGAACATAATATCATCTGTTTGCTTCGAGCTCCCACAAGAAGTCATGTTAATGAAAATGTATTCTTTAGTTATAAATCTATGATCATTTCCGAACAGTCTTCAACACTGAGAGCATCAGCCACCAGCCAATTGTTGTTCCAAGTCACCAGAAGAAATGCCCTCGGCGGAGATGGGGAAAACCAGTCAACGTGTTTTCAGCCTCCAAATCGAGATAACCACGACGACGGCGATTAACTCCACTGCGGTATGATACCCACACCCGAAACGAAGACCCATTGCCACAACCAACGCCGTTTACCAGCTCTGAATATGGAGACCGACGGGGCCGGAGTGACTAAAGGACACCCGACGCTCAAAAGGCGACCATTTTTTTCTTACTTTACTTATTGGCCACTCCATTCGTCTTTTTCTCGGCTTCGGGTGAAAAAAAAACAGTAATAATAAATAATCAAAATGGTAAAATCAAAGAAATGCCTGTTTTTGTAGAATTACTGAAATTCCCTTTTATCGAAATACTGAAATACTGAAATTTGATAGGTACTGTGATCACTGGGCAATGCTCTTGGAAAACTTCTTTAGTACTGGGTTTGGTGGAGAATTTGATTCCTGCACCAATATGACACATTGTTTTAACAGATACCAAGAAGAAGCACATTGATGATCATAAATTGAAAGATTTCAAAGCAAAGAATTATCTATTTCAAGCATTAGAACGTTCGATCTTGGAGACAACCCTCAACAAGGATACAGAAACTCAAGTCATCATACCTGATGATGGCGTTGAGGATCCATTGACCTATAAACATGCAATGAATGATGAAGATAGAGATTTCTGGATCAAAGCCATGAATCTTGAAATGGAGTCAATGTACTTCAATTCAGTCTGGGAACTTGTAGATCAACCAGATGGGGTAAAACCTATTGGTTGCAAATGGATCTATAAGAGGAAACGAGACCAACCGGTATGGTACAAACCTTTAAAGCTCGTCTAGTAGAAAAGGGTTATACCCAAAGAGAGGGGGTGGACTATGAAGAAACCTTCTCTCCTGTTGCTATGCTTAAATCGATTAGAATACTCTTGTCTATTGCCACATTTTATGATTATGAAATTTGGCAAATGGATGTTAAGACAGCCTTTCTAAAGGACAATCTTGAAGAGAGTATCTATATGGCTCAACGAGATGGGTTCATTGAACAGGATCACAAGCATAGGGTTTGCAAGCTTAAAAGATCCATTTATGGGTTGAAGCAAGCATCTCGATCCTGGAATATAAAGTTTGATACCGCGATCAAATCTTATGGCTCTAAAAAGAATGTTGACGAACCTTGTGTTTATAAAAGGATAGTCAACTCTATAGTAGCTTTCTTAGTGTTGTACGTTGATGATATTCTACTCATTGGGAATGATGTTGGATTTCTGACTGACAATAAGCATTGGCTAGCGACACAATTCCAAATGAAAGAATTGGGAGAGGTTCAGTTGGTTCTTGGAATCCAAATTGTTCGGAATCGCAAGAACAAAACACTAGCATTGTCTTAGGCATCGTATACGACAAAATGTTGATTCGATATAAGATATAGGACTCCAAGAAAGGATTTTTACCTTTCCGGCATGGAGTTCATTTGTCGAAGGAACAAAGTCCTAAGACGCCTCAAGAAATTAAGGATATGAGACACATTCCCTATGCATCAGCAGTCGGTAGTCTAATGTATGCCATACTATGTACCCGACCTGACATATGCTATGCTGTGGGAATTGTCAGC